TGTCAACAGCCTTCTGGCTAAATGCATCATTTGGAGTTAACTAGCACTAAAATGATGCAAAGTCTCTACAGACACACTTTAAAACCCAAAGAACTTTTAACTGGAGGTAGCAATAACGATTGCTACCTCCATTGTGTGCCTTGAAATTCTGGCTTGCCCTTTAATGTGCCTCAGGCAGGACATTTGAAAACCACTGCAGAGAACAAAAGAAGTCGATTACAGGTGTTAGGCACCAAATTCAAGAAGGCACACAAAATCATTGCTTACTAATATAATAAATGCCATTTGAACGTGATAATTCATCTGACTCCATAATGTTATCTTAAAGTGACTATACATATATACTATTTAATACATACTATTTGTGGCCAGCTGTATAGCGTAGTGGCAAGACTACACACCTTTGGAGTGGAGGATCACAAGTTCGGATTCCTACCTGGGGGCATCTGTATCCATAAAATAAGTAAGGTTTGGCGAAACAACGAGTAGCTCACTGTTCCAACATGGTATGGCGAGGGGGAGCCAGGATGACAGGTCAGGAGGGAGATATCATCACCCCGACCTAAGATAGATTGATTGAATCAAATAGCTTGATTTAACTTTAAGTAAATTACTTCTAAAAAAGCTGAGTCGTGTCTGGGTCCATGTCTCTGCAGCACACCATGGGTCATGTACTTGATTGATACACACAAAACTGATAAATTACCCAACTTGAAATTAGGGTTGCTAATAGATGCTAAGCCTAACACAAAAAGCAACTACTGTGAAGTGGATAAATAGCCCTAGAGAGAAAAAGTTCCAAGTAAGATCATATACAGTTCTGGTCAGACGTTTACATCCACTCATCAAGGCACTGAATGGTAGTAATTTCTTTCAATTGTTTTCAGTGTGGAATAACCGTATAGATTACACAGACCCAACAAGAACTGGGTTCATAAGTTTTAATTTATTTTGGATTTACTCTAGTCCTCACCAGATCAAAATCATACATGTAAGATGAATTATATACATACACTTAGGGCTGGGCGATATGGCCTAAAATTCATATCACGATATAATTTAAAGCACGTGCGGTAACGATATATATCACGTTATATTCTTTTCTTCTGTAT